CACAACATGTAGATACATAAAAGAATGGAAACACTTAACCAACACTGCAAAGACACATATCAGATATAAATTAAAGAGAAGTAAGATAGTTCTTTGTAGAGTAAGCCTTTTACTAGAAAATTGTTTAAAAATAAAAAAGAAAATAATATTACAGATATATATTATTGAAGTAAAGGTACTGAATATATTATTTGAAGATACATAACATACTTTGCCGCTTGTATAATATGAATACTTTTATTTTAATTTTTCATGCAAATTACGTATATATTTTGTACTTTTAATAACGTAAGTACCTATAACTAAACATTCTGTTTGGCAATGGTTTATATAACTGTATAAACTCTATTAAATAATATACCGGATGTTACATCGTTTCATGTGTGTTTACCGGATTCGCTTAACTTCCCTTTTTATTTTGAGCACAAATTTGTTTAGGTTAATTCTGCAACTCAAGGAATTAATAAATAATTGATTTACCAGTTTTAGATTTATTGTTAATGTCTTAATTTTGCTTTTTATGACCCTGTATATGTGACTATTAATGTGACTCAAAGTTTATGGTTAAATGAAAGTGTTATTGTAAAATTGAGTATTTTTTGAGGCTCTATATTTAATTAGTACACCGGCATGTTATCGCGGTTTAAAGGTTATTACCTATCATCAGATATGTACAGTTATCTAAAAGCTTAAAGCGACAAGGTTGTTTGCAAATTTTCTGACTTTAGCGACAGCTTACAAAAGACACTATCTATTCTGATGGAATTAAACAAAACACATTTACTGATCTATGGCATTTTTGTTAGTTACAATTAGTACAATTAATCATTCAGGAAAGTTTTCTGCAACTAGGTGTATGTAAGACAGTCTATGTCTCAAGGAATTTGCAGTTTGTTAGATACACTGGTAATTTTTTTCATTAAAAACAATTAAAGTAGATCGCGCTTTTGTAAGCTGCCACTAAAATGCGGAAATATGAGTTTAAGCTTATAGATTAAGTCTGAAGCTTAAGTCCACACGGTGGACATAATGCTGTGAAAAGAGATAGTAAGATGAGAAGAGGTGAAAACAAACTTGATTCAAGTAGCTCAGAAAACAATGTGACTAGTTTTGAAAAAGCCCACATCTGAGAGTAGCCCACTACTTGACCTCTATTACGCGCCGAACGAAGTGAGCGCGTATCGAAAATATCGGGCGGCGCGTCAAGAAAAGTCATGCTTCTCTGCTCCAAAAGTAATATACTATTACGCTGGCATTTAGAAGCTGTGATTCTCTGTGGTTAGAGCATTTCCACAAAAGATATCTCCTTTTGTGTGAATGGTTCATAGTATTCCAATATTGTGTCCATATTTCTTTTATAAGCTGGTGCGCGCACTATTGTCTGTATAAAATGTCTTTATTATTGCTACTTTCTCCTTAACTTAGTACATTTTATCAACTTGATTGTTTTTTAAACAAAAATTCATTTCAAATATTGATAATATCTGACTTCATTGTGGCCAAATGCAACCCGTTATACACATTCTGTACTACGTGTGGCCTAACTTTTTCAAAAATACTCTGTCAAATTATTAAATTTTTGCAAAATTTTGAAATTTGTTTATTTCGTAGAACAATTTTAACATTTGTTTTCAATTCTCTACAAATAGTATCTGATGACTTTTGATGTAAACTAATTAGGGAAGCAGGAATTGAACAGTTTAGGCAAATTGAGTTTCCTATGGTCCATTTGACGATATACCCAGTATAACTCCCGACATTGCAACCCTAAATATATTTTGCGTATTGAACTTTTTTTCTAGTTACTAGTTATAACCATTGCTGATCAGAGATTGACGTTCTAAGAATAAACTTATTTTAACTTGTCCATTTGTTATGATTTGAGTTTATTTTGTTAATTACCAATTTCTAAAAAAACAAACCATGATTAGTACTATTTATTTTTATTTTTATGAAGTAAAATAAACTCAGAAGGTGATACAGAAATAGCGAAATTATATTGTAATGTAGCACAAGAAAAAACGTTATTGATTTTAGACAATAATTGATTCATTTCGTTGGAAAAAATGGATTTCCTCAACTTAATAATTAATGAAACTGGTACATGTAAATCTATTACAAATAAAACACCTTTCGCTCATTTTTCTTTTAAGTCAAATAAATGCATACACAAATGAGTTACTGAGTTTAAAAGTCATTACACTTTTTTGCTATTATTTTATATTACCAAATATGAATCAACTACATATTACAATATAATTTCGCTATTGGACATATAGGTAAGAGATCTAATTAGTATGTCTGACAGCATGAATGAGGACACTTATGAATTTAAGAAAGCAAAATACTACAATCGTATTTACAAAAATATATTGATCCAAATACATTAATAATTGTGATTTAAATTATCTATGGAAAACCCTTCTGTCTTATGAAGCTATGCTTTAGCACAATATGTTCAGATAAGAAGTAAGTACACGGGAATGTTCTCATTTATCCTTCACTCAATTAAGTCCCGGACCTAATTAATTAAACCATAGTTTAAGCGAGTTATAATTTCATCAATATATACCGATTCGAATCCTTCTCTAATATTTTGACATTTTTTTTGTAGAAGGGTTTGTTTTTGGCCTTATAGGACGCCTCAATTTCCATAGTAGCTTTTAAATTTCATCCAAATATTTTCCATGAAGTGTTTTTTCAGGACTACAAACAGCCAGTAGGCACTGGGGCACAAGGCATTTATTTTGGTCTAAACGGACAAAAGTTGAAAATAATTTCGTTATTTAAAATTTATATAAAATTCTACATGTACATATTCGAGTTTCGTAGACCTTAGAAGGTTAGTGTGGCGATATATGATCCGTGAATAAACGAAATATAAATTATTACATTTCTTTAGAAGTTAACGATGTTCTAATAGAACTAGAACTCATCAAATTTAGTGAGGCGAATCAGTTCTTATTTTCATATATCGTCGCAACGGTTATGTTTCGCCTGATAAAACTATACTTCTTAATTTTTCTATCTGATATTTCACTCATCCAATTTTCTATTAATAGGTAAATAAATAATAAATAAGACTTACTCACAATCAATTTAATTTAACTATCAGACGACCGGTTTCGCTTTCTACAATATGCAAAGCATCCTCAGGTCTCGATACAAAGTTAAACAAATGCTGAAATAATAAAAACCCATATTAGGGTGTTGTCTAATAACGATAAACAAAGTAGATGTTGTAAATTACAATAATTACGCCGATAGTACATGTCTGTGGTTTTATTTAAATGAGTAAGTTGAATAAAAAGTATAAAAGTTTTAAAAGTTTAAACAGACAAGGTAAGGCCCACAAATTGTTATAAAATAGTCTCTTCGATTGTAATAAATTAATAAATGAGCAAATAAATAAAATAAACATTACTTACATGCCGGTACTCTATTAATTGATTAATAATGTATTAAAGTAATGTTTATTTTATTTATTTGCTCATTTATTAATTTATTACAATCGAAGAGCCTATTTTATAACAATTTGTGGGCCTTACCTTGTCTGTTTAAACTTTTAAAACTTTTATACTTTTTATTCAACTTACTCATTTAAATAAAACCACAGACATGTAATATTGGCATAATTATTGTAATTTACAACATCTACTTTGTTTATCGTTATTAGACAACACCCTAATATGGGTTTTTATTATTTCAGCATTTGTTTAACTTTGTATCGAGACCTGAGGATGCTTTGCATATCGTAGAAAGCGAAACCGGTCGTCTGATAGTTAAATTAAATTGATTGTGAGTAAGTCTTATTTATTATTTCTTTACCTATTTGAAATGGACTCACACAAGCAACACATTCATGATTTCTATTAATAATTTACATAATTTACCCTCTTATCAGTGTCCTTGTTTCTACTGAACCTGTTACTACTAAAAGACAAAACTGAGTTGAACCGCGACCCTCAGCCACCAATAAGCAACCGTGTTTCTTTTACTATGTCGGTAAAATCTACTTTTTATATCTGTTATGACTCCAATCCGGATATAAATCCTGTAATTTTTTTAAGTTGGAGGTGGGTAGTATTACCAATTTGACAGTTGACTTACTTCTTCTTCTTCAGCCTTAAATAATCCAACTAAATCATGAATTTTTATTGGTTGCGCCATCTATATGTTAGGTCCAGGACTTATGTAAGTGATGTGGTATTTTTTTATTTAAATCTTAAAGACATAAAGAAGTTAGCAGTTTTAGTTTGTATTTTATCAATTATTGGCTATCCTTCAAAATAGTGCAATTTGAACATAACTCCGAATGAACCTCCACGGAACAAAATATTGGTGTTTGACAGTGTTGCCATGTCTTTATAGTATACATGTTGTATGCTTCAAATATAAAGAGAAAACGCTTTTAAGAAGTACATTTTATTATATTATTTAATAGGTTCTGCAATTTTATTACTTATGTAAAACACGAACGATTGATTATTTATTTCTTCCGATATTAATTGCAGTTATTAGAATTCCTCTTTTGTAATTCCCTTTGATAGATTAACGGATATATTTGGAAATAGCGTTAGAATCCTCAAACCACCAGTAGCCAGATTGCAACAGATGTTTACCAAATAAGAGTTTTATGACAATTTATCATTTTAGGATGTAACTAAAATTATACTGTTAGTTACTTGCAGTCTTGCAGCGTGCTTATCCACATTGGCTTCGCAATTAATATAATTAATATATATGTCACATCCTGTTTCACGATTTTGACTATATTTGAAACATACAACATATAAATTATACGGACATGGCAACACTGCCAAACACCAATATTTTGTTCCGTGTCGGTTCATTCGAGACTACCTTCATGTTGCACTGTTTTGTAGTAGCCCAATTATTTGTAAATCATTTTTAAATGATAGTAAATTTTTGTAAGATACGATCAAGTATTTCGCCACGCGCGCAAAGAGTTATATTAGTTTGTCTGTCATTGGTGATAGGCTGGTTACCTGCTCGCATTGGTTCTTTGCCCCCTTGTGCTCTAGCTGTGGCCGTTTTACCTCCCTTACCTATAGCTTTTCGTAATTCCAATGGTAAGTTACGTAGTAGGTATTTGATTTCGTATAGCCACTTTTGTAGATAGCTTTTGATCATTTAGAAATATTTTTTTAACTATATCAATTCGAGTATTCACAATAACGGTACATTGATATCAATTTCATTCTCAAAGTAATCATTATGATGCGGTGTTAGTTGCCGACACCGAAGAATAACTAAAAATATATGTGTGACCTAGAAAATTACAATGTCCGTCCACAAAATCAAAAGAGGAGCTTTTATAATTAAAATTACACAAAGCACAGTTTTTTATGCGAATTTATCAATAAAAGCCTTGAAATTACAACCAAGAAATATACACAAATTAAATTCTATAAAGTAATTGCTGTGCCAATCCTGACATACGGAAGAGAGAACTGTACAATCACAAAAAGACAAAAATGAGAATGATAAAAATCTGAATGCAGACACAAGAAATAAAATATATTAAAGTTTAAACCTGTGTCGGACGCATTAATGAACTCATTCAAAAACTGGACGAAATTATATTGCTGCTAAATTTTATCAGACATAAATATATCCCAAAAATACTTTGTATACCATAAAAATAGGTGAGATGAAGCAAAAGAAGAAGGTGTTTTAAAAAATCTATATTTCAAAATATCCAATTCTGTGGTTGATAAAAATTCTGAGTTCCTACATCGTAAAGATTATAATACCCATGTTCCGTCTAAGTGTTCAAGTGCTTATGCAAAGATGCAGGGATGTTAACTGTGATGTGTATATTTGTTTTATCGACTACAAAAAGGCATTTGATAGAGTAAAGCATGATAAACTTATAAACATCTTGAAAAAAGTCGAGTTAGATGATATTGACTTGAGAATCATCTATAATTTATGTTACAACCAAACAGCCAATATTAAAGTGGATGACCAATTGACAGAGGCAGTCTCTATAGATAGAGGAGTGAGGCAAGGATGCATTCTGTCTCCGGTGTTATTTAATATATACTCTGAATATATCTTCGAGCAAGCGCTGGGAGAACTACAAGAAGGCGTAGTCAACGGAATGCGTCTAAACAACATTAGATATGCCGACGACGCAGTAGTTTTTGCAGATAGTCTGGACGGTTTGCACAGAATAATGTCGAGTATATCAAATATAAGTAGAGAACACGGACTTGATCTTAATACGAAGAAAACAAAGTACATGGTAGTCAGTAAGCGCGAAATATTAAATACACAGCTTTTGGTTAACCAACATCCAATTGACAGAGTGAAACAGCTACACATACCTTGGTACCAACATTAACAGCCAATGGGATCACTCCAGTGAAATAAAACAACGCATAGGAAAAGCGAGATCAGCTTTCATAATGATGAAGTCTCTTTTCAGAAGTCACGATTTACCACTTGCTACCAAAATCTCTCTCATTAGATGCTATGTATTTTCTACGTTATTATACGGAGTAGAGGCCTGGACCTAATGTTGAGGTCCTACGTAGAATATGCAAGGAATGCGAGATTATTAACACCATCAAAGAGCGCAAACTAGAATAACTTGGCCATGTTATGAGGAATGAACAGAGATACGGCTTGTTGCAACTCATTCTTCAGGGCAAGGTATTTGGAAAGAGAGGACCAGGGAGAAGAAGAATATCTTGGCTTCAAAACCTGAGAAAGTGGTTTAATACATCGACAACCGGACTGTTCATAATAGCAGCAAGCAAAGTTAGGATAGCCATGCTGATCGCCAACATTCGCAACGGATAGGTACCGTAAGAAGAAGAAGATGTTCCGTCTAAAGATCTGGTCGAGCTCACTGTAAGCCGAAAATCACAACGGAAATAACAGCGTATGCGGCAATCGTAGCGAACTCTGATTGTGGGTGAGAAATGACAAAGAAAAAATACAAGACTTAACACTTAAAAAACGTATTCCATCCATACGATCCAGAGCAACACTCAGAAGATAAAGAAATAGAAGAAACACTAAATGCACTATTCCAAATAGGCATGTCGATAAAAAAATTCTATTAAGTAAAACCAGAAATATAATCATAAATGAACTCAACATTAAGAAAGCCCCGAGCTATGATCTTATCACAGGTAGTGTGCTACAGGACACAAAAATGCTTTAAATTAATGACATATATTCAATGCTGTTCTCAAACTTGGATGCTTCCTGAAGCTCTGGAAAATAGCAAAAATACTAATGATTTCTAAACCAGGCAAAAAGTTAGAAGAAGTCACCTCCTATCGACCGAATAGTCTGCTTCCAATCATCACCCAAAGTCTTTGAGAAACTATACGTAAAAAAGCTGAAATCTAGAGCAGAAATTATGCACTAAATTCCAGACTATCAATTTGGGTTTCGAAACAAGCGTGCTACCATAGAGCAAGTACACAAAACCGTAAACAAGATGCACGATGACTTCCAATAAAAACAATACTATTTTGCTGCCTTCATTGATATCTCGAATAAGAAGCTACACCCATACCGTCATTTCCTGCTACTTAAATCCTACTAACCAATAGATGTTTCCTTGTCAGGTAAAACAGTGAATATTCTCCCTTGAATTCCATCGAATCAGCAGTACCACAAGGCAGTTGTATCTGCTGCATACCGGTGATCTCCTTACTACCCCAAAGGTTACAGTGGCCACGTTTGCAAACGATACAGCTGTTCTATCCTCACATCACACCCTAAAAGAGACATAAAGGCAACTGCAAACCTGTCTTAAAATTCACACTCGCGCTCGTGTAAAGAGACTTATCCACCAGTACAATTAAACAACAATTTATCTCAAGCCGAAGATGTAAAATACTTGGGAATCCACCTAGACAGGAGACTAACATGGCGTAAACATTATATTCACAAAATGCAGGCATTTAGGATTAAAGCTAAGCTGTTTATACTGAATCATCGGTAGAGACTCCTTTAGAGAATAAACTACTGGTCTACAAAGCCGTTTTAAATGTACAAAGCCAATTTGGATCTTCGGCATCCAGTTCTGAGGAACCGCCTCTAACAGCAATATAAATATAATACAGAGGTTCGAAAACAAGATGATAACGATGATTCTTGACGCTCCATACTATACAGCCAACTTAGTGATTCAACGATATAAAAGCTACATTATCAAAGAGAGTGCTTAAGAAAGTAATCTGTACAAGTCATAACCTTGCCACCAAAAATAGTAATTAGTAACAGGTAGCCGAATAAATGAGATGAAAAAGAAGAAAAACTACACATTGTTTTGAGCCTTTCAACTCTCTGAACAAGAGATATTGCCATCTTTGGCTAGAAAGAATACGACTTTACAGGCGTTCACGCATAATCCTACGGATGGCAGCTTCGCACCATTACCCTCTCTAAGCGCGTAACAATCGTGCCTCGAGCTTCGTAATAACTAATCACAAAAAAATCAAAATAATTTGTTTTATTTGTATAATAAATTCATAGCATACATTTGTATTGACATATTCACACAAAATATATCAGTATCATTCGCTCATATAGGCCAAAAATAATATTAAATCATATTGTAGGAGTTTAGCATCTTTAATAATTTTCGATAGTTTTTTAAAGTTTTTAGAATTTTAATTGTACAAAAACAGAATTAGGAAATATTTTTAAATAGTAAATTGTTAGTAGTAGTTTTGTTTTGATTGAACACAATTCTAGACAAATTTTATAAATTGTGGCTAAATTTCACCTGCGTTCGCCTTCACCTCCCACATTGCGTCACTGTTTGCTTGTTGCTTTGTAAATTTGCTTTTGAGTGTTTTTAATGATTCGTTTCATATTTATTTCATTTTGGTATTTTTTATAAAAATTCATAACATATATCTATGATATTTTCATGAAATTTCAGGTCATCGTTTATCAATAGTTTGTGAATATAAATTTTAATTTTTAATTTATGAAAACTATTTCTATAAGATATTTGCAAATTAATTTTTAAATTGAGTTTTGGTCAGAAAAACAAAAAAAGGGAAAACTACATCCAGGAAAGTGGATACAAGAAAGAAGGAAGGTATTGTAAAAACACAAGTCTCTGTGTTTTTACGACGCTCAGTATATTTAGTTTTCCATATGAATCTTCCAATTCTTTCTTAGTCCATTTAATCCATAAATGTACCACTTGTTTGTCGTCACATTTCGTTGAGAATCTTTCTTTTCTATATCTACGTATTTTGTTTATTTGATCCGTAGTTGCCTTACTTTTACATGTTTTTGGGTCACTCCATATATTTAGCTTGGATTATCTACAGCCCCTTCGTCTTTGCTACTTCTTCTAGCTCCTTAAAGATATATCATTTATAATTACATTTACTTCTGATCATTTTTACTACATCTTCGACAAACGCCACACATATTCTTGTTAGTACTGTAATCCGGAACTATTGATTCTGAATTCCGTTAATATTTTCTTAAACGCCAGTCTGAACAGTATTGAAGACAATGGATGTCCTCATTACCATCTAAATTAATAGTCTCCAATATTTTTTATATTATTTGTATGTCCCGTTTTAATTTGTTCTTACACTTCTTTGAAATTTATGACAGGTCACATAACAATAGGTACTATTAATATATATATAGGTAGTCTTTTCTTCTTTTTTCCTTTATCTGTGATGTAGTTGCCTGAATCGATCATTTTTTAGTTGTTCCTATTATATTTATATTCTGTTTCACCTCGCAAACCAGTCAATCTGTTGGATTGACCTTATAAGTGTATCAGCTACTATTTATTTTTTTTTCTCCTACCATCATCATTTTGGCTTTACAATCCTGCGTGGGACCTAGCCTCCTCAACAATTTCTCTACAGTCGTCCCTATCCATCGCCTTCCTCCTCTAAGCACGTATTCCCATAGTTCTTATGTCTTTATCGATGCTATCAACCTTTTTCTGGATTTTACCTCTGGATACCACCTCTGAAACCAGCCTGGTATTTTTTTACTATCCGTTCTGCATATGGTGCCATACGGTGACATAGTGCTGTGGACAATATTTTATACACTGGATTTCTGTGTATAAAATACCTGATCTCTTTCGCCTTCCAGGATTTCTTCTTCTTCCTCTATATTAAGTGCCTGGTTAAAGTATTCCACCCATCTATTCAATACATCTTTCCTTGTTGTTAATGGGTTGTTCATATATTTGGTTTCCTCAATAAAGATGTAACTTTTAATTTATTTTGACGAATATATGAGTCTTTGCAAAAAAGTGCATCTGTAATGTAATGTAGTGTTTTTCTTATCAAACCTACCAATTTTATTTTTATATTACACAAAATCTCATAAATTTTCGTGCATGTGTAGCTAACCCAAAATTTTATATTGCAAATATTTACCAACTTATATATTTTTGGGTATAATTTTTTGCACTTGTAGATTGTTGCACATCTCTACTATTATTTAAAATATACTTGAAAAAAAAAGCATTAAAAATATGAAAGAAAAAATGTGAAATAATGGAGATATTAGGGAGAAACGATTACTAACAGTATTAAGATTTAAATATGTATCAAATATAAGTAATTTGATCTAAAATAACGAAAATAGCGTCAACGGAAGAGGATATTAAACAAAACCTACAAAAATACGGACAGCAATTAGACAACTGAACACCATCTGGTGGAATAGACACCATATCATGAAAATTGAATAATAAATTAAGGAAACACCACCAAGATATCTACAACATTTATATAATGTCTTTAAAGATACTGTCGAATAACAAGAATGAACAGGAACTGTAATGAAGGAATTAATTTCGAGTAATAAAATGAACTATCATCAAATATAACCGTTGCAGGAAACTCTAATTTACTGATAATCTAAAAACCAAAACATAAAAAATACAAAAAATTAGTTGCAAGTGCCCAGCCTTAGATTGCCCAACCATTGAAGAAAATTCAGGTCCCGAAATCCTTCCAGAAGAAATAACGGCGGCCGTCAGACAAATGAAGGATGGAAAGGCACCGGGACTTGATGAAATTCCTGTAGAATTGTTAAAGCTATTAGATGCAGAACAAATAAAAATAATAGCTAGAATATTTAATGAAATATACAAGGAAGGAAAAATACCAGTAGAGTGGCTCAAATTGGATTTCGTACCATTGCCCAAAAAACCAGGATCAAAGTTTGTGAAGATTATAGGACCATAAGCCTAATGAGCCATCTGCTGAAGCTGTTTTTAAAAGTCGTCCACAAAAGAATTTATCGGAAATGCGGGAAACAAATTGCGCCCAATCAGTTTGGATTTGTGAACGCCGTTTGTACGAGGGAAGATTTATTTAGCGTGCAGGTATTGTTTCAGTCAGGCTGAGTCAGGCATGAACAAATAATGAAAGTACTGAAGAGGACTGGGATTGACGGAAAAGACTCTTCTGGAAAAAGTGCTTCTGTACGGAGTAGAAACGTGGATATTGAAGGCGGAAACTCTATCAAAACTTCAGACTAGGTTATACAGAAGGATTCTGAAGATGCCATGGAGAGACAAAGACACCAATGAAGAAGTACTGCGAAGGATGAACACAACCGCGAATTTGGTCAACATCGTGAAGGGATTGTAAGCTGAAGTACTTGGGACATATAATAAGAAATCAAGGCAGATACGAACTCCTTCAATACAGTTTTGCAAGGTAAAATTGAAGGAAAAAGGACCCCAGGACGAAGAAGAATATCCTGGCTTGCTAACCTGAGAGCATGGTATAGAAAGACCTCAACACAGCTATTTCGTATAGCAACCAACAAAGAGATCATAGCCAGAATGATCGCCAACGTTCGAAACGGACAGGCAACCTAAGAAGCCTTAGATTAAAAAATTGATAATGACTAGAACGATGCTAATATGATAATAAATTCATTCCATATTTTTGATCAGTAAAGAGATTCCCCAGATCTCAAATGGCGTTAATCTTGAAGTTGGATAGTCAATTGGAATTATTATCACAACGGCGAAGTTTCAAACAAAGTTCCGGAGCCAGTTGACAGTGCCGATGAAGCTTCTGAACTGCTTAATGGTCTTTGGTGTCTCGAATTCCCTGAAACGTGCACAGTGTTGATTTATGAGCTGCGTATTAGTACTAGTGATATTGTGGCACACGTATTTAAGAGGATTTGTCGCATTTCTTGAGAGACACTCATTTGCCACAGGTGCAGAATCGCTCTAAAACAAGGAGTAGTAATTTTTGACACTTATCCAAGCTGTACGACATTGACTTCAAGAAAAAATTAGGAATATATTCATAAAAGAACTTTGTGCCTATATAAAATTAATCATATATTAGATCAATTCGATTTTTCCTTTAAAATATTTACTTTGCTTGTAAATATCTAAACATTATCATGTTCTATAAGTTGGAAATATTTGTAGTATTATTGTCTTATGTTATTACACTAAATATTAACGCGTGTGTTTTCTTCAGGTCCTGGTAGACGACAACCGCCCGCTTACAGTGTTGCAGCGCAAATGGCGAGGTTGCATCGGTTAGGTAGAGCTCATTCGCACGAAGGTGTTACTCAGGGTTACCATTATCACACCGATCCGGATACGGATCAGGGTAAGACATATGTTTAAAATGTCACTGTCTAACGACATCTATCGACGCTATTGTGTACTAACTTTTAACTGACTGTTGACATTTAATCGCCATCACGTATGTTAAGTTGTCAGAAAAATGTGCTAGTTTTTATATTTTCATTGTAAGGGTTAATATCTTTGTTATTTTATGATCGTTTAATCTTTTGTTTTTTATTGAAGATGTTAGATGTTAAAAAGTTTATAAAAACCGAGAAAATTCGAGTTTGATTTCTAGTATATATGTAATAAATTAACCCACTCAAAATAATTGCCATGATACCAATAATTACTGATAAAAACTAGTACAGATAGTTCAGTTCTCTTACCTTATTCACTGTTAATCGCACAAGTATTGGAAAAATATTTTCTACAAAAGACGTCACAGATTTTTATATTTTTCTTTTTAGCTTATAAAAAATAAAGGCCTTTTTATTTTAATTATTAAAAAAAATCGTATAAACCACTGAACTTCAAACATTTCTGAGCTCAATAAAGAACGTTTACAATTTGAACAAGTTCTAAATGCTGCAAGACTTTTATGGGTCCCCATATCCCCAACTACCATTGAAACATAAATATGATATATGTATTTTAAGAAAATGCATTAAACAATGCCTGTGGACTTACTTTTATGAGCCAAAATAACAAAAGAGAATAATTATACTTACTTTCCAAGTGGTATTTATTATCTTATCATATTCTAGTTAAATAAGTTATAAAAATATAAAGTAAAAATAAATAAGTAACCAAAATTTAAATAATATTGATGATTGGTCAAATAAAAAACGACGTCTTTTGTAGAAAGTGTTAAAACAGTTTAAGACTGACTAAACAGACTGACCTGGCTTGCTTCTTTTTCCCTCTTGTATATTACTCATACTTGCGTTAGATATTTTACCTTCTTACTCTCTAACATACTTATTTCTAATATTTAGTGAATGGTAAAATTGAGGTTTTAATACTAACTAAAAACTAACTCTTTTAAAAATCAGATTACAGACAATATATTCAAGGCTTTAATGATATATTATATATTACTAAGACACAGGCTTCTTGTATTAAGGCGACATCGAACTTTAGCACGACAACCATAAGTTCTGCGGAAGCTTTACTGTGCTGCTGTAAATGACCCCTTTGCTCGTTAACTCTACATGTTATTGGTAGACTCAGATGATTCAGTCATTACTGAGTCCTCTATTGTCTTATGTCCATTTTATTCCGACGAATCGAGACTACTTGCTGACATGCAATGTGCTCTCCCAGAGTTCGCCAGCTCTCTGAGGTATCGCCTAGGCAACACTTTTAGTTCTGTTGCTTGCATTCAATAGTGTTATACTTCAGCTCAGAGTTACAGAGCGATAAATGACGGAATCGCATATTTACAGTGTCTATATCCTGTTCTTAGTTGATCCGCGGGTGTTTTTTGGATATACCTATAGGCCGTTCCCCATTAGCCATTGTCGCCCCGTGTCGTCGATGATAACTTCCCAAGCCAGTCTGTCCTTCGCGATGTACTGGTGAGTCTTGACTTACAGTTTCAGATAGGGAATTCAAAGATTTCTGAAAGGAACTAAAAGGTCTCCTATGCATGATAAATAAGCTACTCCCTCAGAAGCAACAGACTCTATCAAGGCTGCTGTACCAAAGTTTCAATCCCGTATTTTCTGTTCTATATGGATATTCTTCTTATATGAAGTTGGACATTTATCGATGACTTTGCTTTCTTACTCGGAAGTTACTGTACCGTCCAGTAATCTTTAAGCACTCTTAGACGGGAACCGAGAGTGTTTGATTATAAAAAAGTTAAAAATCTAAGAAAAGTTAAGAAAAGTAAATCCATGTGATGTATAAGCTAATTATACACCACTATCATCTAAACAGAATCTCTCGAGGAAAATACAAAATATTGGCTCAGAAGTATTAACAGAAATAACTGAAGATAAAATCGAAAAATCCATAAACGACATAAAAAAAAATAAAGCGGCCGGTGAGGACAAAATAGTGTCGGAACTGCTAAAAGAAGGAGGAGACAAGATAAAAAAATGCTAAAAATACTGTTCCACAAATGTCTGTTTGAAGGTAAAATACCTAAACAATGGAGAAATGCCAACACAATCTTAATACATAAAAAAGGAGACCGAACAGACCTAAACAATTACCGTCCTATTTCCCTTTTGTCACAACTATATAAAACCTTCACAAGAATAATAAACAACCGACTAACCTATAAACTTGATAACTACAAACCAGTGGAACAGGCCGGATTCAGGAAAGGATACAGCACAATCGACCATCTACATGCGTTTAAAATCTTAATTGAGAAAACCAATGAATACAACCTTCCGCTGTACTTAGCATTAGTAGATTATGAAAAGACAGCATTGAACACTGGGCGGTTGAAGAAACTCTAGTCAATAGTAGAGTAGATTCAAGATACCGACAATTGATACATGATATTTACCAAAACGCAACCATGACCGTAATTCTGGACGACAAATGAATAACGGATAATATAAAAGTTAAACGAGGAGTCCGACAAGGCGTATAATTTCACCTAAACTGTTTACCTTGACCCTCGAAGACATAATAAAATCAACAGATTGGGAAACAGAGGAATATGTATTAACGGAAAATACCTCAATCACCTTAGATATGCGGATGATATACTCCTGATCTCCTCGGAACGACAAGAACTGGAATTAATGCTGAATGAACTTCATGAAAAATCACTGCAAAAAGGCCTAAAAATTAACTTCAACAAAACAAAAGTAATAACAAATACGGAAGACCAAGAGGCAATAAAAATACAAATAGAAAAAATAGAACAGGTAAATGAGTATATCTATCTAGGACAAACAATCAGAGCTAACAGAGAAAATCAAACAGCCGAAATATCGAGACGAGTAAGAATGGGATGGGCAGCGTTCGGCAAACTTTCTTACGTTCTAAAAAATCAAACAATCCCTATATACTTACGAAGCAAGGTATATAACTCCTGTATAATACCGGTGCTCACCTACGGAGCACAGACATGGACATTTACACAGGCCAATTTGGATAGGATAAGGAAGGCACAAAGAGCGATGGAGAGACAAATGTTGGGTATATCACTTAAAGGTAGAAAACGTAACCAGTGGATCAGAACCAAAACAAAGACAGTAGACGCGATAGAACAAGCAGCAAAACTGAAATGGAAATGGGCTGGACACAATGAACGTCTCCAAGACGGACGATGGAACAATGCCATCGGAAAGTGGCGTCCATACAATGCAAAGAGGTCAAGAGGCAGACCACAGATGAGGTGGAAAGATGACATCAGAAAACAAGGAGGTCCCACATGGCAGAGAACAGCTCAAGATCGGGAAAGATGGAGAGCACTGGGGAGACCTATATCCAACAATGGAAGGATAAATAGGTTCAAAAAAAAGCTAATTATATACTGTTATCACAAAGGATTGAATATCATTGAATGATCATTTGTTACCATTCGAGATTTGAATACTAATATGGATGGTATACAAATATATGACCTTCTTCCTTGTGATTCTACCTCCACCACGCGCTCATTCCCATAATTTTTTTGTCTTCGTCGATGTCGTTAAGAAATCTTGTTCTCTCCTCTTATAAAGGGTCTATCAAGGAGCGTTTTTGTTATTGATCTATTTTAATCCATCCCTATTACTGATTCTACCTTACAGATCCTTAGTGCATCTCTAGATACCCACCAAGATATCATTTTTTGATTTGTTTGACGATACCTAGTTCGTATAATGTTTTGTACAGTTGGAAGTTACATTCTCTTCTCTATACACCATTTCCATTCAGCATTCCGTAAATTCCCATCAGTACTTTCCTCAAAAAACATGTTTAAATTAATTTTTGTTAAGAGTCCAAATCTCTGAGCCGGATGTTAGTGCTGGAGCTATTATTATTTTTAACTTTTTAAAAGGAGTGAGCCCAACAGCATCTGTTTTCAGTACAGTGCTTCTAGAAGAAGTACTACATAAGCTCTGCTTCTTCTCTAATAGCTTCAAATGTATTTGCTATACAAGTATGGTACAATAAATTATTTATAACATCAGACTGATTTTTAAGGGAGTTATCTATAATCTTCCACAATATTCATCTGTAACTGATATTTAGTTAGTTCCTTCACACATTGCTTCATTTTTCATGATATTATGTAAGTTACAATCGACTTGTAGTGTTTCTTTAGTAAAGATTTTCGATAATAGACAAGACTGACTTTGGATTTGCACACTCTTAGAAAACTACTAGTTTGAGTACTAAACACACTAGACAACGATGGCTAAGTCTATAATCGAAGATTTATACTCAAGAAGTACTGTGTTTCTATCACTATTTTTGTACTTTCCTTGAATAATTTTATCATATTTTTACCTTTCAAGTTTAGAGAAAGTGATGGTCTAACAAGATTACTGTAATTTTTTTATTTTCTTTAAATTTTACCTTCACTCTTGAAATGCAGTTTCATATAAAAAGTAATAATATATGATGCTAAATACTGTCGTCCTTATTGAGTTGTCCAAGATTGGATCTAAATATCAGAAACATCCTCAAAATATACAGAAATGTCAAACGTCAACGTGTTGTTAACCTATTAACCTAGATTAGTCAACTTGCGTTGCTATTTCTGTATCTAACACTGTATATATAATAAAAACACTATAATACGAAACAAAAATTACACATTAACACTTGGTGTTAATTTTGAAATAAACGGGGGTAGCATGTACTTGATTTGTATTGAGTGTTAAATAACTGTTGTCCAACGAGACTAGTATACAAAGTTGCTTCAAATATTTATATAAAAAGTTAGTCATTTTGCAGCGACCAAATTGGCTGCATCAGATCGTACAAATCGAATAAAACAAGTTTAAATTGGTTCAATTTTTTTAAGGTTAAAGTAAGTTTATTGATCAATTTCCACTTTGGAAATCGTTCAATCTTCTTTCGACAAGTGGTTGGGGAAATAAATTATTTATCAGTTCGTTGTTGTGATCAGTGGTGCGATTTTTATATTTTATTGAGCGATTCTTTATTCTGTCCTTAATTAATGGGATGTCCAGATCATTGTGAAGTGTTTGGTTAGATACATACCATCGAGCTTTACTTATCATACGGAGTATTTTGGATTGGAATGTTTGAAGTACCTTCGTATTTGACGTTTTACTACAGCCCCATAGTTACTACAACCATTTAGTTGTTTCGGTTTAGTTTCAATGCATGTTTTCCATATAAGTTTTTCATCCAGATGCAATCCGAAGTATTTGACAACTGGTTTTATAGGAATGGGAGTATTATTAACTTGTGAACATGTCCATTTTCTTGTTGCATAAGTTATTTGTACTGATTTGCTATCATTAACACCTATCTTCCATCGCTTAAGCAAGTGGAGTAATTGGACTAGCTTAGTAGCTACAAAAGTAGCTAAGAAGGTATCATTACTGATTGGAACATCTGCTGTAAATATCAGATACAGAAATGGGCCCAAAAAATTGAGTAACTGTCTTCAATTTTGTTCTGAAGCTATGTGGCATTGTAAATTAATTGCTATTTAACTGGGAATAAGCCACAATTAAAGATAAAAATACGTTTATTGACGTTTCAATTTCCACTTCGGAAATCGTTCTCAAAATACAAACAGTAAATTAAACAAATTTTGTTTTTTGTTACATAGTGAAAAATTCTTCTAATAATTTAGTTTTATCTGACTCATTTATATTGACAATTCAGACATACATTATGCATTTTAAAGTAGACGACTTTAAAATGATATTGCCAATATTGTTGAGTTGCGCTCCTGGGACGACTTTACTTATAAGATAGTTCATTCGATTACATGAAATCAATTTTACCTTGAGAATATCCGTCAGAAAAAAATCATAGCATGTAATTCGTCTTTAAAAAGACAAACACATGACATGATGACAGTAAAATTCTCCTGTTAGTGATTCCATAGTAAATTATGAGGGAAAAAACCAGGAAAAAAACCTCATAATACTATCCCGACATTGTAAGTATTTGTTCGTGAATTTAGTTTACCTTCAACAAACATCAAAATTCTGATTTTATATGTTACGTTATTTAAAAAAACATCATGATGTATCCTCTATATGTTACTGACTTACTAATACTGGTATTTTCTTATTAATAACTTCCTCTTTCAATATTGGTAACCAGATCCTACTACATTCTGCCGAGGATTTTGCGACACAATTGGCCTCATTTAGCATAATTAGAGCCGCTTCTTTAATTTTTCTTTTTTTACCATCCGCATCCGTTTTTTTTTAGGACTACATTTGAATTATTCCATTGAACCCTATGTTCATTATCCATGCGTATTTACATATTTGAGATCTATCAAATTCTCTATTTTTAATATAAGATTGATGTTCACTTATTCTAACATTTAATGGCCTTGATGATTCACCTAAATAAAACTGATCGCATTCACAAGGTATTTTATAAATGCAATTCTTTGTCCTTTCTTGTTCATTGTTAGGTTTGGTTTTGGACAAAATAGATATCAACGTGTTTGTTGTTTTAAATGTTGTTGAAATGTTGAATTTATTTCCTATCCTTTTGTCTTTTATTATTTGTCTTTTATTTATGTCTTCAATTTTAACTTAAAAGTAACGGTCAATAAGACACGATTTTAATATAAAGTGTAGTTGGTCTGTTAGGTGTAATTTCAGTTTGTAGAGGAGACCTTTATGTCATACTCTATCAAATGCCTGTTGTATATCTAGAAATACTCCAACGCAAAACTTTTTCTCTTTGATAGTTGTTTTAATTATATTTACTATTCTCTGCCATTGTATTGGAAAGTATCGAAGACGTAGTATGCTGTTGTATGTTATTGTTAATAACACCACTGCTTTTCTCGGTAGCTTCTGAAGTAATTCTTTTGTTATCAAATCATAGCCAGGAGCTTTCTTAGGATTTAGCATTTTTGTTGTCGAACCTCTGTCTGAGTAAATGTTGTCAGAGGAAGAGATAGTTGACAAGGAGTTTCGAGGTACATTCATATATCATCATCTTCATCGCTATTAGTATCTGGTGCTGCGAATACAGTTGCAAGATACTCTGCGAATACTGTTGTTTTTTCTGCATTTGTGCAGGCCCAGGTCATATCTGGTTTTCTTAAAGGTGAATTTGTTATTGTCGGTCGTTTACATTTTTTTTGTAGCTTTCATTATAGGGTAGTCTTGATGTGAGAGGTTCGAAACAAAGTATGACTTTCAAGGGTGAATTACGAGCTCGAAAAATTTCTTGTATGTATATCGTATGTACGTCCGGTAAACTGTTTGATTTTTTTAGTTGTATACTAATTTTTTATAATTCTTAAATGGTTCCATCGTAGCCTAATACTTGATAATTAACCCTTTCATGACGGCAGTTTTTCGACGTGCCGTGCCTCAGATACGGGAGTTTTTGTGCCTTGCGCTTCAATGCGCTTCCCGTTTAGCACTTTCGCGCATTTATGCGTTTCCCGACTTTTGTGGTAAACAAGTTCGTAAGTGTAAAATTGAAAAAACAAGTACAGAAGATAAATTTTTTACTAATTATTTATAAAAATGCATATAAATCAAAGAAAATATTCAAAAAACTAAAACATATAATTCTATATTAGAATAGCAGAAGTTTAGACCCAATACATTTGTTTTATTATGGTAGTTTTCAAAACAAGGTACCACACAAAGAAGAACCTCACACTGTTGGAAACAATAGATTGTTTCTTTGCGTACTTTTTTTTACTGCAAACGATGCAAAGGAATGTGTTTTGGTTTATATACATCACTGTCTTTCCGCCACTGAATCTCATCATCATCATCGACTAACTTAATTTTTTTCTCTTCTCAGTCAGATATCTTTTTTTCGAACCCATTTGTTAAAAAAAATTATTAATTTAATTCAAAATACTTAAATAAAGGTAACGTGGTTGAAAAGCAAATTTGCATGTACCACCATCGTCAACAAATGACTTAACATTTTTTCCAAATGTACTGACTTCACTCCAACTCCCACGCAGTTCATCGCAGCTCTGTGAAATTTAATAAGCGATGACATGTTAGAAATAGTATACAATAAGCAAATTTAAAAGCGATTACGAACGTTTCCTGATTTAAAGTACATTTTGATGTAAGTGAATATATGCGTCTCCCGTATCTGTGGCAAGAAAACTTTTGCGCGTATATGCGGTTCCCGACGTTAAAGGGTTAATAGTTATAACATTAATTTAGACTAAAAAAATCCGCATGGCGGACGACGTGCGGATAATAGCTGAACTATGACAGTCTATAACGCAGATTCCTTATTTGACATGTCTCTGTAAGTTCGTAAATTAATATAAATTAATTTGGACTAAAAATGGCGGATCTCTGATAGATAATTGACAGTTGACATGACAGTTGACGTCTTTGATTCTCTTCTGTGGCTACTTGACTTCCAGCCTATATCTGGCAGTGGCCAAGGTCTAGGAATTTAGAAAATCCTTACACATTTCTTCTGGGAAACTTAGAAAGTAACCGAAAATGTCAGGCAAAAAGTGACGAAACTATCTAAAATTAAAAAATTATTGACACTATTCAGTGTTACTTGCCACTGTTTTATATAATTTTCCTCACAAAAAATGCTAAAAATGTGTCATTTACCGTTTGACTGATTTATATAAAATATTCATTAAAAACAGTTTTATTACATGATTTTTTCCAAGTCAATTTATTTGGAGGGCACGTGGCCTTATGGTAGAGCAACAACGGCTTTTCCAAAGAGTACTAGTCGACTTTGAATTTGTGTGTATCTGTATACCAGTTTCGTTGGACACAAATAACAGTATCTGGGATTTGGTAAAACAGAGGATGCTTTAGATATCAGTTATATAAATATTCACTTTATTATTCAGGTGACGACATATTTGATTCATCCGGTGAATATGATACTGTCATTATAATGGTCTAAACATCATCAGTCACTTTTGACCAGTCGAGCACAACTGACACAAGTACAAAAATAAGTTAGCGATTTTGTTTTCGTTTGATTTGTTAGTAATTAGATTTTTTTTTTATTTTTTTCGCTTAGATGACGATGAGACCCAAGTCTCGGCGGTGTGAACATTTTTCCCTTACCAGTGATTTTAAAAATGTTTGAGACAAAACGTATGTTTATTGGTGTTTTTGCATATCAATACAAAAATCAATACTCAAGGATCTATGTCTGTATCTTGTATGTGTTTGCAAAAAGTTTCAGGGTACTGGGGCAAAACCTGTATCAACTTCAAGTGAGTGATTCACACAAAAAAAGTTTGTGTAATCCAGTTACAGAACAGAATATATGTCTTTCATTATTAATATTTATATACATACTATTTACATTTGTAGAGTCAAATAATAAACATTTTGGTATCATTTTGATCATATAATGCTTCACTGCTTTTAATTATATATGAAGTATTCTAAATTTTTGACATTTATTTAGCTTTACATTTACTGTTAAGAATTAGAAGGATGTGCTGAATGACATTTCCTGGCCAAATGACTATTCAAAGTCATACACCTACTTAATAAGTGGACAAAGTGGTCTTTAAGTCATGTCTGAACACGCTGAAACTAGACCTAAGACACGAAAACTTTCACCTGCATAAACTAACATCCTACCTGTGCTGACATCTGTGGGAAACATGAACTATATATTTCTAAAATAGATACAAGTCATCTACTTATCTCAATAAGAAATATACGCAGCTATGAAGGGCGAATAAAAGCTAACCTCTCAGAAAAAAAATTATTTCAATGCATAGTTCCTCCCAGTGTAGTGTTATAGGGACATTTTGCAACGATTGTGTGAATAATTTTGGAGATATCCCTCATCTTGTTTAACTTTTAATAAAGTTTTTATGCCTAAACACAAGAGTAAACGGCCAAAATTGTGATTTTTGCCATATATTATTATTAACCGAAGTTTCAACTTATACTTATATTAAAGCAAAAGGAAATAAATAACCTGGGAATGACCTAATACATAATTGACTTTATGCAGATTTCGCTCAGAATAAAATGGTAGAAAGGCAGAAATATATTGACAAACAAAGACCAAATAACTCGATAGATTATTCATTGTTACTCTATTTATACCCTATTGACTAAAACATCTACTGATACGGCTTTTGTCCCTGTGAAAAGTACCTGATTATTATTTAGTATCTTGTAAGATTCAGATTTTGTTAATAAATTTTAGATTTGTTTTATTTATATTAGTAACAATAATATTATTGATCTAATGTACATAGAAATGATTTAGTATGAGTTTTCACCCTGCCTCTTATATCTATACCTCTTCTCTTTAAAATATACTTTCTTATTCGAATAGACTATGTAGGTAGGTGTCATTCAAAGCAATATGTCAATCAGAAATATCTTGTAATATAATTAACGTTATTAGGTAATTAAGAGAAAACTATGACGTAAGTTGTTAATGTACTCATATTTTTGTCTGTACATGCAATTGAAACGTAGTCATTTAACAAAACGTTAATGATTCAAAGCAAATTTCTAAATCATTTAATATAACCTCGTGGCATTATTCCTACCATTTTAAAAATACTCTCAATAAAAAGGGTTTCACAAGAAAATTTCCTCTTAAAAAAATTCAGATATTTTCTATTTATGAATTCAATAGTGCAAGTGAACGCAATAGTGAACTAACAAATGAACTACTTTTTGTCCATACCTTGTGGCTATTTAGTGAACTAAGTCTAAATAAAGTGGTTGTATGTGCTTCTTTAAGTTAATTAGGTTCGATTTTATATCGTTTGGAAAGTTTTTATTGGGAAATGTTTTATTATTCTCGTGACAAATTAACTACTTTTTGTCTATACCTGTTGGCTAACTCCTGAACTAGGTAAAGTGGTTATATGTATTTCTGAATGTTAATGAGTTTCAATTCTAGATCGTTTGGAATGTTTTTATAGCCAAAAAAAATGTTTTATTATTCTTGTGACAAGTGAACTACTTTTGTCCATTATTTTTGGCTAACTCATAAACCAGGTAAACTAGTTGTATGTGATTCTGTGTATTATTTATGTTCATTCTATAGGTTGCCTCATTCATTATTTGTTTTCAACGGTTGAAATAAATTTAAGTATACATTGTATTGTTAATTTCAATCAAACAGTCGTTTGAAACTTTTACATAATTCGGACGTTTGATTCCCTGGATCATCTACATTACTCAATACCTAACATCCGTACATGTTTAATAAATGCTTCTTTAGGGCATAATTCTGTTTTCCACTCAGAAAAAAATTCTCCCTCAGTACTAGTGAATTTTCTTTATTTTTATGTCCATTTTTCTACATTTTAGCCGTCAATTTTTCTACATATCAAGGTATTATCTGGATGAAGTTCTAATTTGAGAATTTGCTTTCTAGCTCTAACAAAACAATTTAAAGATCTTTGTGAACAGACATTAGAATCATATGTAACCTCTATTGGAACCAAACAGCAAAGGTGAAACTTGAAAATGAACTGACCGCGAATATCCAGATTCGCTGTGGGGTCCGCCAAGGGTATACCCTTGTTATTCAATTTATACAGTGAAGCCATCTCAGAATTATCGCTTGTCGAGGACAGTGAGGGCCTTATAATAAACGGTGAGCCACTTAATAACATAAGATATGAGAACGACACCGTCCTTCTGGCAGGAACACTAGAAGAATTTCAACACCTTGCTGAACAACTAAATATATATTGCAACGATTATGGACTAAAAATAAATTTGAAGAAAACCAAGTTCATGGTATTTACAAAAGCACAAAACATCAAAGTTAAGCTAGTACTAGTAAGGAAGACGTAAAATCTCGTGGCTACGCAATCTCCGTGAATGGTTTGGATGCAGTTCAATTGAACTATTCAGGCGCGTAACCAACAAAATTATAATTGCCAGAATGATTTCCAATCTCCGATAGGAGCGGAACTTGAAGAAGAAGAAGTGAACAGACACTATGATATCAGAAAATGTATTAATGTTGCTGCTAGAGTTATTTTGGTATTATTACCTCAGGAATATGATGAATTACATTGTTTCCACTTCAATGTTATTCATAGCTGAATCTCTACACATGGCAACGAGGAATCTTGTCGTTTTAACGAGAGAAGCTTTTTGTTGGAGTTGGAAAATGGTTTTTAAGTTTATAAAATAGTGGTACCATACGTGTTTAATTTTTTCTGCACTCCATTTTTGGTACAACTTGAGAACAATTGGATATTTGAATGATATCTTCTGAAACCGAACTAAGGATCAGGAATTGTCTTCTAGGAGTCGTTATCTTGTACTAGATTCGTTAGAAGTTTTTTAAGAATTAGGTATTTGTGCAAGTAAAGTAATTGGACGATATGAAGTGACGAGGTTTTCCGGGCTTCAAGGTTTCCAAATTTAAGTTCACCAGACCATCAGTTACCTTTCTAATTATTATTTCTTAATAAGATATTGCTAAGATTCTCAAGTTTACTTTTGTTGCAGTAACTAAAACCTCAAGTTCTTCATTTATTCCTGGAAAAGCATCAATAAACAAAGAATATAATGTTTATTTATACTAGACTCTAAAATGATATTTTGTTGAGAATTTTTTTAAAATATGGAATATTGTACGAGAAGTTCGACACATTTTATCTTCTTTATGAATTGTATAATTCTATAATTTATTCACAGCGAAGAAAAAAACAACTTAGACAATTACAGATAAACAGATTCTGACACTCGTGTATATAGGTGAGTTATGACTTGCCTCCTAGTCTCTCTAGATCTACTTAAGGCATTTTAAGATTTTTCTTTGCTGTGAATATATTGTAGACAAAACGGCATTCTTTAATTAATAATGACTTGTCTATATTCTGCTAAGGACAATTAAATTTTTTGTCGTTAGCGTCATTAATAATGTTAAGGGTATTTGCCACCTTTGTAATAGACTTTTTAATTATAGTAAAGCCTTAGCGTAATAATATATAAAACTAAAAAAGCAGTATACAATAAAAAGTCTTGAACGTGTCAAATTCCTTTGTGCAATTTAATTTGTACATTTTTATCGTTGATTAGCATTTTGATTATATACAATTCTAGAATTGACACCAACTATACACCTTGATCCTCAATACATTCCAGTTTTTGTATATATCTTACCAGAAAGCAATTATATCTCATTTATCTACATCTTATATATTGTATTAATGTATTCTACATAATATGAGCACTTGAAAAAAGTTTTTGAATGAAAAGGTTAACACCGTTGGGATAACCTAAAATTAGGGATGTAAAATATACTTGCCCATGATCAACAAATTGCGAAAGATGCTAGAACTGAAGCTGTTGATTGGTAATCTATGTGATTGATGCGTAGGGTATCACCAAGACATTAATCATTAAATATACCACGGTTTCTAGAGATTTTTGGCTATTTTAACCTCAACTGTTCCATAAAATGTGTCTCATGTCCCGTTTTAACATGAATTTTCATCAATACGTCAATCAAAAACAATACTGTCCAAAGGATACTCTTGTCTTATCATAAAAGTTTGTAGTATCATTAAAGTATCAGTATCAGTAAAAGTATCATTTGCTTGTTGTAGTCTTGCCAACGAAAATGCGATAGCTTACAATATAGAAATTGCATCTCCAATGCATTGTATAGCAGTCATTTAACAAGCCGTTCAATAAAAAACTTCCAAATATTTTACAAAGTGTTTAAAAAATCTTCATTCGAGTTAAGAACTGAGATATATCAATTTCTACAAATGTTCTTCAACACTAACTTTATTCCAAAGCAGTATTCTTCTTTTGGTGCCTATTCGTTTCGAATATTGGCGATTGTTTCCTCAGGTTTTTTAACCATGATATCCTTCTTCTCCCAATTCCTCGATTTTCAAATACTTTGCCTTGAAGGATTAATCTGTTATTGAAAATACATTCTTGAAAATAAATTGACAGTTATTGAAAAAACAATAGAGTACAACATACCACTACATCTGGCATTTGTCGATTATCACAAAGTATCGAGAAATGGGCTTTCTTAACAGCATTGGACGACGCCAGAGTAGATTCAAGATATGCTGCCCTCCTTA